TTCGATGACGCAACAGTATATTCATAGCGAGTTCTTAAAGTTTATACACAACTTTTGGTGAGGTAATAATGAACACTGTCATGGTTTGTTATATTATAAATAAACTGTGTGAAAGTTAGGATTTTTGTGATATTTATCATAACAACCACCCCCAACATTATTTAAATTCATAACCCGAGCAAAAAGACGGGTACCTCAGCTTGTTTCATATAAACCTAAAAACAGAGGGAAATTTCTCAAAAAAAAACATGTCTTGGTTCTGTATGATTCATAAATCCTTAAATGTTAAGCCTAAGAATCGGCCTCATCCACATCAAGAACAATTGAACTTATTGGGTAACATCGTTAATCCTTCATCCAATCAGTTTCATTATTCTGGGATTTTAAAATCCGGTGCGAATGGTTTGAAAATATATTTAAAATGTTTATTTACATATTTTGCAAGCCAGAGAAAAACAAATTAATACTTACGTATCAAACGGTAAAAAAGGAGCTGGACCAATAATTAACAGCGTGGCACTGTTGAGTAGGCATCCAACAAAAACCATAACCATTGGTGGAAACTGTTGAAAACATTGGAAATAGAGTAATATAATATAATATATAATAGGCCTAGGGTAATGTCTTGTGATTAAACTTTTTACACAATACCGTGAATGGATAAAAACGCAGACTTAAGAATTTTGTATCCTTGTCTTGTATTAATACCCTATAATTCGTCAAATCGTATTTTTCACATTTACCAATGTTCGTTAATACTGCGCTTTGTTGCTTCTAGCTTTTCTGCGGGACATAAATATAACAATTACTTACTCAAGGACAAGAAAATCTAAATAAACCATTCATAGCAACGTCTTGCATTGTTCAAACTCGAAGTGAGGTTTATTGTAGCCTCATGTAAAATAACTAATGCAAGTAAGAGGGAGGGGGGGGGGTATTCATAAAAAAAAAGAAAGTTAGCACATCAAATTTGTTGAGAGTAAGGGTGAGAACGTTTCGCACCTGGACTCCCGAGGGGGCTAGGAACACAAATCCGATTTCACTGGCCCTGAAAACCTACTCTCAGCCCCTCATAGTGCATGACTGACTTGCTGAGGGCGTGAATTTCACTACAAGGTGGATAAATGTAACATTTTGGATTATTGCACGTGCGCACTTCTTACTTTTGGTATATTTGTCATGTGCATGCCTGACTGTCAGAAAAATGGTTATTGGTCGCTTCACTTTTTTATTTTAAATCAGTATGATACTTCGGTCAACAAATAGGAAAGAACTCAAAAAAAAAATTCTATATCGCAATATGAATGAAACAACTGTATTTAAAAAAAGGATTTAAAATAAACATTACTATGCCTATTGATTTATTGGTTAAATGCCTTTTCCCGAATACACACCTTTCTGTCAGCCATTCTACCCCATATTGGTGCACAAAGAGTATAACTTCCACCACAGATTGTAAACAATGCTCCTAATAAAAACGGGGACAGATGAAACTAGAAAAAAATTAGTTCAAACATAAGCATAGGATGTAAACTAAATAAAAACAACATTGTCTTACACAATTAAAAACATATAAACCAATAATGGTGTATTTAAGTGTTTTACACTCACAAAAAAGAAACCTATCATTCTATAATAATCTATAATCACTAATAATTCTATCATCACTCACGCTTTCGTACATACTTAATCGACATTTAATATAAACACTTCTTACAAAACTTGTAAACTTGCTGGTGCCATGAACAAAGTCATAACAATGTTGCAATAACATACTTGCCGAATGTGTGGTTCTAGTGCGGCAGTGTTGTAACCGATAATAATTAAACACATCGTAACAACTAGGCTATAGATGATAGTGGCTCCATCTGCTAGGAACTTCTTCACGCTTGCTTCTGATGTATTGTTAAGTGTTTCTGAAATCGAGGCAAATCAGTTCTTAGATAAACTATTAAGAACACCACACCACACACACACAATGTCATTTTTTCCGCAGTCCTGGTTTGCCATTTTTTTGGAATGATGATTAAATTTAATGCACGTAAAAATAAATATGATAATAAATAATTGGTGTTCAAATAAATATATAACATTGTGTTATTTACACCATATCGACTGTTCATGAAATGTTATAATGTTTTCCATATCCAAGTCGGCCTGATGAATCTTGGTACTTGACGAAAAGCCTCGTCGGCACTATATATATATACTGTTATACATTTTTCTTTATTTTCTCTCTTTCGGTTTCCAAAATGTAATTTAATAAGGCTTGGATGATGTGTAAGAAACAACAATGTTTTATCTAGGTTATATTCATTTTAATTTCGGTACTATTAATAAAGAAGTAGCGATATGTTAAAAAGGAATATTGTTATATATAACAATATATATATATATATATTGTTATATATAGATTATCTATATTCCAATAATGCTAATAATGATCGGGATGACTTGTAAATGACCAACACGTAATGCAGATTGGAGAATGGTGCAGGCTCTGTTTAATGCAGGCGGTGTACAAGGGGGATATTCCCCCTGTGAAAAAATCCCCCTTAAGTACATTATTTTCCACGTTATCGAATTGGAATTCATACCCTCTCCCCAACTTCACAATCCCCCTCCTCGATGGAAAGGTTTAGATTCAACATTGGGTACAGGTTTTGAGAACATTTCAATTTAAAATGACTTATATTTATCATTTGTTTGAAAAAATTAGGGTTATACACTGTGATTAGGACCTGTTGTTGGCGTTATTATCATTATCTGTACAAAGACTTTCAAGAACAATATTGTCTAACGCAAGATTCTGGAAAAATTATACAAAGTTTAACCTTATACGTGACTACTCACCACTTTCCGGCACAACTAAATACACGAGAAATGTCTCTAACACCAGCAGTCCTCCGAGAACTAGGAATGGAAGGGGATAACCACCATGCTTAAGAGGGGGGAAAATATTTGAATTTTTGTTACCAGTAATACATATATATATACATTGTTTTGTTTTTACATCGGAAGTACCCTATTTGCATGCACCTTCTAATTGTACCATAATTCTATCCTGACACACACAAAAAAAATGAGAAACTTATATAGTATTATGATATTTTATTTAGTTTCGAATATTAATACATACCTCAAATAAAACTCCACCTATTGCCGGTCCCGAAATTAGTCCTAGGCCGCAGAAGGTCTCGAGAATAGCCTGTGTTATAGGCTTAGATGTTAAACAGGTTTATTTTTCATTTATAAAGTTGCAGAAGACAATTTTAACTGATTATCCTGAGAATGTTTAAAATTAATGTTAATCCGAGTGTTACGATTATCAGAAATTGCTATTTTGAATTAGACAGAGTTTGAAGGTGAAATAAGATAATCATAAAGTTTTGTTGATCGAACTTTCGTGTTCTATTATCAGTAAATCTGGACGATTGAACCAGTATAACATTACTTTTTGGAGAAGAATAGAGTGTGGGGGTTGTTTGTTTACTTGTAGTTAATCACAAAGCTACACAAAGGGTTATCTGTGCTACCCACCCCGAGTATCGAAAACTAGCTTTTAGCGTTACATGTCTTCCAAATTACCGCTGAATGAGAGTAGAAGGAGCAAAGAAAGAAAATGACATATTCCTTCAGGCGTTTTAATCATTTAGACTTTTTGATCATCTTAATTTACTTTTCTGTCGTAAAAAATTTATCACTTGTGTAGAAGTAAAAATAAATAATTAAAAATCAGAATATTACGAATACAGATGGCGTTCGGTCGGTAAATTCTGCTGCAACAATGGCGAAGCTTGACGTTTGAAAGGCTGCAGATCCAGCGCCCTCTAGCGCCCGTATCAGGAATGCCAGTGTGATGAATGTGGTACCGCCACGAGCTTGATCTATTAAGCTAACAAGTGAATATCGAAAGAAAATTTACTATTTGATCACGTATTATCATAAACAATACGTAACAATAATGTAATCGTTATAGTGTAAACATCACATCAATCATGTGTTACTATAAGCAATACGTAATAATAATGTAATCCCTATAGTGTAGACATCACTGGTAAGTCCTGTTAATTAATCACATAAAATAATTACGTTGCTGTTTTCTTAGAGAAACCATATAATGTGAAATACATTTATATCCAGACAACGACTTTAAAAACATTCAAGTATGACTTTATACTGTTTAAAGGATTATAACGAATAGCAAAAACCGTACCAGATTATAACGGCCTTTCTCGAAGTGGTCCATTGTTCAGTTGAGGTACATGACTTTCAATTTTTATTATTTAAGTTTTTAACGTGTCTCTACTTTTTCCAAACATTGCACGTTTCCATCGTTATGTTTCTCACTAACTCGTTCTGTATTTTTATACAACTGACAACTGGTTTATCTAGAATTCGTTTCATAAAATCAAAGCTATTGTGAAACCAAAACAACTATATTTAGCATACCTACCCAAACAGGACAGAACAGACTCCCGCCACAAACACCCCGGATGTCATTAAGAATTTGGGAGATATGTGAAACATCTAGAATGTACAGAGGAAAAATGCAGGTTCAACATCCATATAAATACGTGTGATTCGGTATATACACTAGGAAGTTTGACGGTAGGTAATTTATTATTTATAAAATCACCGAATCTTTTTTTTTTGTCATTCACTAAGTCACACCTTATCATAACAAACACGATTGTAAAGACATAAGAGGGAGTATTTTGATAACTTACAAGATGTTAATAAGTAGCAAAGAGACATTAGAATATCATATTGTATAAAATAAAATGTCATTAAAAGGAACAAATTAAGAGTTTATTATAATTGAACAGACAAGAACAATACACTCGATAGTCTTTCTTTAAAATAAATCACATAAATTAACCGCAGCTGTGGGGTTCAAAGGTCCCTTCGTGATTCACAGTGTACCGATCAAGCCCTTACGTTATCCGCAATTACTTTTATAACCCACCGAATGGGGGGGGGATCCACACCTCCCCCCAAAAAAACATTACACACACAAACCCGAGGTACTTGATTACACGTGTGACAAGTTTAGTCTCATTAACTTATAAACACAGTTTGAAAAATATCACCCTCGGGATCACAAAGTGGACCAGAAACACAAAATTCCAATACCAGATTTGAGTTCAGCAACTTTGTAAATTCATTGCTCTCAATTTTAAACTTAAATTTATTGCTTTCCAAAAAGGTTTTTAATTGTTTTCAGTTTTTTGTTTTTTTTTATAGTTTGATGCTGAAGAGTAGCCTTTGATGCTACAAAACTGGTTTAAAGGTACGATTCAGCATCATTGTACGAAAGTTGAGTCTAACTAAAGCTGTTTTGTAATTGGTATTCAGTATCACATGTAATATACCATATATATTTTGATATAGCATTAAATGCTTGAAAGTTTTATGCACATAATTACAACTCAAATGCCCTGAGGGCCTCCTGAAGTTTGTGAAAATCATTATTTTAATTCCATTGTTATTTCCAAACAACGTGATGTACAGTCAAAATATTTAGCATACAGCTTCTCTGTGAACAAGTTTACGATTTTAATATAATAATACTGATATATTACCAAATTTTTATATTTTATTTTGTAAAATATCTTGTTTTGAAATAATTTTTGGAGTACAATGCTTTATTGGCAAATGAACTGACGTTTATGTAAAATGTTTATATAATAAACATAGATTTGATAATGATCTGTCATTATAGATAGATAACTGTCAATAATATTTGTAAATTTAATATAAATCACTGAAGTATT